GCACCTGACCTAATCTGTGGATCAGGGAGGGCTTCCCTGAGGAGGTAACATTTGCACTAAGACAGTCTTAAAAGAAAAGAAAAAGTGCTCCCGAGGAGAGGGAAAAGGCCTGGGCCAAGCCCCTGAGTGAGGCAGGAGAGTCTGGTCTGCTTCTACAAGTTAAAACAGAAAGGATGAAGTTATTAAGCAGGGGCGGGAGGCGGTGGATGGAGAGAGTTCGGATGATGGAGTCAGGTCTCCACTGTGCAGGAAATCCAGCTACAAGCAGGTTTGAAGGAGGGAGTCAGTTGAGGGTTTGGTGAGCGTGGGAGCTCTCCGTACACAGGGAAGCATGAAGTCTGAAGCCAGCCAGAGCTGAGGCACAGCAAAGGGTTCCCCCCAGTCAGCTGCAGGGTGTATCAGCGGCCCCCTGGTGGGGGGTGGGAGCTGGTGCAAAACAAGTTCACCCCGCGACCCCCTCCCCCGTCCTGGTTAAGGGGTCTGGGATGGGATCTGACTACCTGGGATTTGAGGGGGTGGTGGTGCGGGGTGTAAATGCCTGAGCCCCTCCCCATGGGGGTGGGTTGTGGGCGTGGAGAGGGGTAGGACTGAACTCTCTAGGACTATTTCCACTACAGGACACTGGTCGGCTGGGTGGGGTGGGAGGAGGGATACTAGGGGTGGGCCCTTTCCTGGTAGCCCCTCTGTCAGGCTCGCCAGGGGAGGACAGTGTCCGTGCTCAGGCGTCTGTGTGCATCTCTAAATATGTCTGTGTCTGGCTATAGTAGTGTGAACATGGAAACACGTGTGCACCTGTGTGCTGCACTGGGTCGGGGTCACGCTTGTCAGGGTTTAGGTGTGTACAGGACTATGTTGATGTCTGTGCTCTTGGCTCTCACCCACGCGTGGATATGAATCTAGGCAGGAGAGCAGGTGTCCATGTATGTGGCCTGTTCTGTGTAGGTATGTGATGCCCTGTGTGTGCCTCCGTGGGGACAGGTGTGGACAAAAAGTGCGTCACCGAGTGCACTCGCCTTTGCCCGTGGGCGTGCACCGACTTGTGTGTGCTCAGAGGTGATGTGTCCGCTGGACCGGAGAGACCCGGTTGGGCCGCGCTGTGCGTTTGGGGGGAGACGGGCCGCGCAGAGGGCGGGACTTCGCCCGCCACGCCCCACCCCCACCCCCGCCCCGGCCCCCTTCAGCCCCCCGGAGCCGAGCCGCTGGCGCCAGGCTCGCGGGCGCGTTGGCTGAGCTGTGGAGGTAACAGCGCCGCCGCCGCCCCGCCGCCGTAGCGATCAGATCGATGCTGGAACTGACGCTGTGACCGCACAGCGGCAGGGCCGAGCCCCCGGAGGGAGGGAGGGAGGGAGGGGCCCCGCCGACCCCGGCGTCCCCGCCCGCCCGGTGGCAGGTCGGCCGTATGCTGCAGATGGTGAAGACCCTGGCCCAGTTCACCATCGCGCTGGAAGACATGCGCGATCTGGGCCCGGCCGCCGCCTCCGGGGAGCCCGCCGAGAACAGCAGCGCAGACGCTGAGGAACCTGGGGAGGCCCAGGTACCGGGAGAGGGAGGGGCAGCCAGGCACTTGGGCCAAGGCCTAAAATCCATCTGACCCAGGACTGGGGGAGACATGGACAGATGCTGGGGCGAAGGACCGGGGGACATAGGATCAGACACATCAGCTGCCTGACCCGGGGGTTGGGGGCTCCGTGGCAAGGGATGGGGGCAGGGAGGATTGGAGGTATGTGAGGGGCCCGGGCAGCGGTGGTGTGGCTGCAGAGCACGGAGGGTTGGTGCCACCAGGATGCAAGCTTAGGATGGCAGAAGGGCTGGCAAACTCAGCTGGGATGGGAGGCCTGCACCCTGAGACCCAGCCTAGGGAGACCTAGTAGTGCTTCACACAGTGATATGGTCAGCAGTGAGCGACCCTGGCCTGGGTGGCCTGGGTCCGCGGCTCAAGAAGGGGCCTGAGGGAGTCTGCAGGTGTGTGTATGTATGTGCTAGTATGTGTGTGTATGTGCTAGTATGTGTGTGTGTGTGCTAGTGTGTGTGTGTGTGTGTATGTGCTGAGAGGGGAGAGGGCGCCCTGCCACTGCACCCACAGGCCCTGGAGGTGTCCTGCTGAGGTGTCCGTTCCTGGGTCAGCATGTGCTCCCTCCGGAGGAGAGGAGGCTTCAGGGGCTGTGTCCATGGCTTTGTGTGTCTGGGCCTGGATCCATCTGCTCTCCCAACTCCAGTGGGGGCTGTGGTTCTGTCTTCCTTCCTGTGCTATGTTGTATGTTTCTCTCTCCACTACCTCGTCTTTGGGCTGAAGGCCCTGGTTCTCAGCTGGGTGACTTGGCTGCATTTTTTGTCTCTTTGTGGAGTGTCTGGCCTTTATGGCTTCTCTCTGCGTGCATGTGTCTCTGTCTTCATGCCCTGTTTATTGGGGCCTCGGGTTTGGGTCATGATGTCCCAGGCACACAGGTAGGAGGAGCCCCCCTCCCCCCCTCTTCCTGCTGTACCCCTTCAGCCCCCACCTCCCTTCCCACTTCAGCGCCCCATGTAGTGAAGGGCTGGGGCTGGGGCTGTTGAGGGATGAGGGACTCGGAGGGGAGGCTGGGCCTACAGGGCTGTCCTGCCCAGAACAGGTGGGCCTGCTGATCTGGTTGACAGCTGCATTGCCCATCGCTGCTTCCCCTCAGCCCCCACCCCCACATACACTCACCCGTGTCTGGGCATGTGCAGAGGGTGCTTGTGCAGTGACAGGGAGCTGGCCTTGTTTTCTGTGCCTCTACCTGACAGCTGAGTGACAGCCTGCTGTGCTTTTAAGCAGAGAGGAGGCTGGGAAAGGCAGGCACTGCAAAGACAGCCTCCCTGCATGAACTGCCCCAGCCTCTGGGCCTAATGGCCCAGCATCAGCCCTGCCTCCCTTAGGAGGCCTCCCTGCATGGCCCTCACTGCTGAGCCTGGCAGGGCTGGGCCAGGGGAGTAAGTGCCCCTAAGGCCCGGTCCGACTCTCAGGGAGCCCTGTGGCCAGCAGGGAGACGGACATAGATAAATGCCTCGCTGAGGTGGAGGAAGATGGGATCGTGCAGGCCCAGTGTGTTTGGAGAGCGCTGTTCTCTCCCTGTAGCTTTGTTTTCACAGTTCTGGGAGGGAGGTATTATTCCATTTTGTAGAGGAGAATGTGGAAACTCAAGTGCTTAGGTAACCACCCAAGTCTCATAGCTGGTAAGGTCCGAGCTGGAGACCCCATGGCCCGCAGCTGGCTGGTCAGTCTGGGCAAGAACTCCGGGTGCTGGGGCCCTAAGAGTCAGATTGAGGCAGCTGAGGGGACGCTGGTCCTGGCCCTACAGGACGGGGCTCTGGCTGTGTGACCTGGGCCAGCCATGCCACCTCTAACTTGACTTCCTCACCTCTAGGAAGTGAAGATGACAGCACCCTGTCATAGAACTCTGAGTGTGAGCCTGGAATGAGGCCATATCTGTGAAGTGCTGAGATGCCCCTGGGGGACAAGGGGAGGGGGGTGATCTGGGCTTTTCCTTGGGCCTGGATGCTCTCCCAAACTCCATCCTAGGGTGGGCCCAGCTCATGCTACCTTCTACTGGAAGCTGCTCTGATTGTTTTTAACCGTCTCAGAAGCGCTGTGAATAGATGGTCTGAAGCTGGCGGCTCTGAGGCAGGGCCTGGTGCCTTCTCATCCAACAGAGCACAGGGCTGAAGGGGGTGTCAGCACCCACCCCACCCCAGATCTCCTGGAATAGGAGCCCACTTTTCTGAGTGTGCTTCATTATAGGACAGGTTTGAGGACGTGCCTAACCCCTGAGTCCCTGAGTCCCTGAGTCAGAGGTGGGGGCGGGGGGCAGGGGCCTGAGGCAGGCATACCACAAGCCAAAGGGGTGAGCAGTGGCTGGAACAGGAGGCTGGACAGTCCTGGGCTTGGGTCTGCTCAGCTGACAGAGACCCTGGGCACCGCTGTGAATCCCTACCCTGAGGGCCTCCTTGGGGTGGGGATGGAGGGATGCTGCGGACAAGGACACTCAGCTTGCATTGCCCTGTGCACTCAGATCAGCAGGCCTTGGTAGCTGGATCCTGAGGTAGATGCTCTGGGCAAGCTGAGGCCTGGGAGGGAGTGGAGAGGGAAGAATAAGCCCCAGCGATCTGGGACCCAGAGGAGTTAGGGGCCTGGCTCAGGACCACTCCAAAGACTTACAGGAGACGGGGATGGAGTCTGCCTGGGAAGGCTTCCTGGAGGAGGGACCACAGAGGCACAGGGATTGCTGGCAAGGGGCAGTAGGAAGTGAGTCCCAGGAAGTTGGACACAGGGAAGGCATCCCAGGCTGGTTTCCAGAAAAGTCTTCCCACAGAACAGGGGCTGCCCTGTCAGGGATGCACACCCTGTCCCTGCGGGTGTGGGTGCAGAGTTTGGGGAATCCCAAAGGGACTCTACTACAATTCATCAGATTTTCAGAATGGAGGCATTGGTGCTTGGGTCTCCTTTTCCTCGTTTTTAAAACGGGAAGAATAGTAATATCTACCTCACAGGGTGGTCAGAGAGATGAAATAATATGTAATGCTTAGAACAGAGCCTAACACAGAGCAGGGCTCAGTTAAGCTCCTAATGAGAGAACTGGGACCCAGCCTTGTCTGAGAGCGTCTGATCCTGCCCCCTCCCGGCTCTGACTTTTGGGGCCAGCCTCATCTCTCTGGGCCATCTTGTCTTCATCTGTAGCAGGGGTAACCGTTTTTACTCTCAGGGAGAAGCACAACCAGGCGGGGTCTGACCCCGCAGCACTGAGCCTGGAGGTGGGGTTTTCAGAATTGGCAGCTGGAGTGGGGGGTGGCCTGGAGGCATCCTCCTTTGCAAATGCGAGAGGTTATTGATTTTTTTTTTGAGTCCTTCTCAGAAACCCAGTAGGGGAGCCCAAAAGTAAACAACCGTGGGAGGGGGTGGAAGAGCCAGGCGCACTCTGGGGAGGAGGGAGATGCAGGGCTGGGTCCTCCCCGCAGTGGGGGCCTGTGAGCAGAGAGCTGGCATAATGGAGGTCCAGGGCACCTTGGAGCACAGCCAGCAGCCCTGGGTGGTGGCAAACCTTAAAGGCCAGGGAGAGGGTGTGGGTGGGCTCGCTGGGCCCATGTGCACTGCCCACCCTTTACCTTCTGTTCCCCAGGACATGCGGAAGCACGTGACCATGACCCTGCTGGACACGGAGCAGTCGTATGTGGAGTCGCTGCGCACCCTGATGCAGGTGAGGCTCACAGCCCTCCCAGGCTCCCACTTCATGGACAGGGAGCCGAGGTCAGAGGTAGAGAGGAGTGACGCTGGGACACACCGCCCTCCGTAGAGAACCCCCCAGGTGGCTACCCCAGGGGCGGAAGCCTCCTCTAGGCAGGAGAGAATGCAGAGGGCCTTCATGAGGCCAGACCAGGCTACGCCAGGGCAGAGGCTCCTTCACCCCACTGCCCTTCCAACTCCCCAAGGCAGCCGGAGTCTGAGCTTGGGTTGTAAAGCCCTCTGGTGTACCCCCTCTCCATTTTATTCATGGCCTGAGCAAGTGTTTGTTGAGGGGAATGAAACGTTAAGCTCCTGCACGTGAGGCCCTCCAGGGGGAGGAAACAGGGATAAACAAGAGAGACAAGCCCCTGCCACAGGAGCTCTCAGTCCTGCTGGGGGCCTGGGTGAGTCTGTGGGCACTCCTGAGGCATCGAAGGGGCAACTGCGTCATGGGATCAGCGCATTTTCCTGGGAGGACATCTGGCTTCCTCCTGAACTGTCTTTCCGCAGCAGGAACAGCGTGTGCACAGTCCAGTAAGGAGAACATCCAGAGGTCCGTGTGGCCAGCGCAGAGCCCAGGGGTTGGTCCTATGGTGACGCTGAGGGGGCCAGCAGGGCCCACAGGGTAGGGGTCTTGAATACCAGGAAGAGGGTTTGGACTCTGTCGAGGGTCTTGGGGAGTCAGTGAAGGGCTTTGAGCAGGGGCAGTGTAGCATGACTGATGCTTTACAAAGTCTGTTGACTCCTGGGAAGGTGGGTAGCAGAAGAGGAGGCCGGGTCAAAGTCACTGAGGTCAGGCGAGGGAGGAGAGGCCAGGACCAGCGCAGAGGCTGCAGGCAGAGAGAGTTGGGGACAGACATTTAAGAGGTGGGTTGGTCAGGCCAGGCATGGTAACTGGTTGGCTGTAGGGGGTGAGGTGGGGAAGCGCAGCATGATGCCCGGGCCCCTAGCCTTGGCGACTGAGGCACTAATGGAGCCCCACCTGGGAAAGGTGGGGCAAGATGGTGAGCTTGGGTTCAGAAACAGGGAGTGTGGGAATAGGATAGCCCAGGAGCCGAGAGGCACCAGCGGGTCTGGGGCCCAGGATGGAAGAGAGCATGGTCTCAGCTGAAGTGGGGCCTGGCATTCACAGTTAAGGGTGAGTTTGTTCAAGCCACCTGGGCAGAGTGAGATCAAAGGGCAGAAGGTAGAGCCCTGGCAACATTCATTAATTCACTCCACAAACCCCTCCGAAGCACCTGCTTCACTGCTGAACCACCAGTGAGCATGAAGAGAAGCTCCTGTCTCCCGGAGCTCACAGTCTGTGGCAGAGACCAGCAGTAACCAGACAGACAGACCACACATGAGGACAAACGATGATGCAAAAGTGCACAGAGCGTATGTACCTAACAACAGGATATTGTTCAGCCTTAAAAAGGAAGGAAATTCTGACACATGCTACAATATAGATCAGCCTTGAGGACATTATGCTCAATGAAATAAGTTAGTCACAAAAGGACAAATACTGTGTGATTCCACTTATATGAGGTAGAGGAGTCAGATTCCCTGACTCAGACTGGCCAGTGCTGAGAGAGGAAGGCTGCCAGCCTGTCTCCTCACCATCACCCCAGGCCCTTTCAGAATCCCAGCCACGTGAGAGGATTCTGTTGAGCATTACTTTCTGGAATTTTTCTTACAAAACAAGCCAGGTTTTTAAAATGTTTAATATACATTTTATTACAGTGTTGCATACTACAATATACTTCTTCAGGGTTTTTTGGCCTGCAGTTACAGTTCGGGCCAGTAGAGGGCGGCCTCTCCACGAGCACACTAGCCACCGAGCAAGGGCTGTTTATGGGCAGGACACACCACTGAATGCAGATTTGAAGTGAAAAACAGGTTTAGTCACAGACTGACTAGCAGATCTGAAAACTGTTAAAATAATGCTCAGATAGTGTCACTAGCAGCCTCAGTAACTTCCCGTGGCCTCCATGCCCCCCCTGCTTCATTTCCCCACAGCGGTTATCATCTTGAGACTCACCAGGTGATGTCCACAGGTAGTCAGTTCTAAAACCCGTTCTTCACATTTTCACATCTCTGAAATCAAGGTGCATTTTATAATTGAATGCATATCATCATTTAATTGACAGCAAATTTTTTTCTTAAAGATACATCTTAGATTAGATGAAATGTGCTTTGTTTTTATTATTTTATTTGTGTATTTTATCTGACTAGATTGTAAACCCTTTCAGGGCAGGGATTTTTCTCTTTTTTGTTCACTGGTGTCACCCAGTCTTTGCACGATGCCCAGCACATAGTAAGTGCTCAGTAAAACATTAGCTGACTTAGTGTGTACCTATGGGTCTCCAGGGAGCCCAGTCTTCTTGCTTTCCTCACTCCAAAATCTGCTTGTTCATGCATCCAACAAACCTTTCCTGAGCCCCTCACGCCCATCTTATGCCAGGCACGGGCTGTGCAGTGAGGGGCATGCGGATAGGCCTTCCTATTTCCCTCCTAGAGCTCTGAGTCTAATGAGGGAGATCCAAGAGGCAGGGCCCTGAGCTGCAGGCCTGGGTGACTGTGTGCACCTATGCCACCGGGTTGGGGTGCCATCTCTGAGGGGACTTACACTGACCTCGTGGGTCCCCCAGGGCTACATGCAGCCACTGAAGCAGCCCGAGAACTCCTTGCTGTGTGACCCATCGCTGGTGGACGAGATTTTCGACCAGATCCCGGAGCTCCTGGAGCACCACGAGCAGTTCCTGGAGCAGGTGCGGCACTGCGTGCAGACCTGGCACGCCCAGCAGAAGGTGGGAGACCTGCTCATCCAGTCGGTGAGTGGCCCTGCTGCCTATGGCTGCAGCCCCCACAGCCTCGCCACCTCAGGCCCCTCCTGGATGGGGCTGGCTGCTGCTGTGGGCCCCTCACCCCACCTCACTCCACTTCACCTGGGCAATGATTCTGATCCCAGATGTAACCCCAGAACCTGACCAGACACTGGCACTGACCGCAGACCCTGGGTTGATCTGAACCTGGACATTGCCCAATCCCAGGGTTTGTGGGATGCCCCATCCCAACCAGACACTGACCTGATCCCGGACCCAACTCAGGTTGCTGACCCTGCCCCAGACCTCAAAGGGATGCTAGTACTAACCTCAACTCCTACCTTGACTAGCTCTTTTCTCCACCAGATATTTCAATAATAATGGCTAACTATTTAGCATTTAGTACGTGCCAGGCATTAGTCTAGATACAGTATACAGGGTGGGGCAAAAGTAGATCTACAGTTGTGAGTACATGAAACAATTTATTCTTGTTTTATTAATGTATTATTTTCCATGTGAACAACTGTAAACCTACTTTTGCCCCACCTTGTATCTATCAACAACGCCAGGAAGAAGGTGGTATTATTACCCTGAATTTAAAGTTGTTGGCTCTGTGGTAGAGAAATATGATAACCTGATCAAAGTCATAGTGAGCAGGTGGTGCAGGGTTCAACCCCCAGAAACCTGGTTCCAGAGCTCATGCTCTGTCCCACCCTGTGTTCCCTTTCACCCTCCGCCTTCACGCTTTCCAAGATCCTGCAGGAGCATTTGAGATCCTGCTCCCTGCCATATGTCATCAGTTTGGCTCAAATAAATGCTCATTTAAAAAAAAAAAAAAGCTGCATTAGAGACTGGGACCTTTGAAAAGGGATTGCTTCAAAACTCAAAAAGATGCCAGCTGGGCATCAATCCTTGAACCAGGAGGTTCTGGTTCGATTCTAGATCAGGGCACATGCCCAGGTTATGGGCTTGATCCCCAGTAGGGGGAGTGCGGGAGGCAGCCGATCGATGTTTCTCCTCGATGTTTCTATCTCTCTTGCTTTCTCCCTTTCCTTCTCCAAAATCAGTTTTTAAAAAACATGTTAAAAAAAACAAAACTAATAAGCATTTAACCAAATGTGTGTAAAACATAATATGCCATTTTCTTTATTAAATTTAGAATTCATTTGTTATTTTGCCAGAATTTCCGAGAATGCATGATGATGATGAATAAATTATAGTCAAATGCAAATTAGTTACTCAGAGCCCAATAATTTCAAGAAGCAAAATTGTAAAACTCCTTCTAAAAATTGTACTAGCAGAACAAAAGAACATCTATTTTTATGGGATGTGGATGTGTTTGTGAGGATGTGAGTGGGCCTTGGGCCTAAGAAGGTCTTCGAAGGTCTCTGCTGCCCTGAAACCGATGTGATGAGAACCTTGGTCTGGCGGTGATGGGACCCCAGCTTGAGTGCTGACATCTCCAGCCCATCACCACCCTCCGTGTCACTCAGATCTTTTTTTTTTTTCTTCTATATTTTTATTGATTTCAGAGAGTAAAGGAGAGGGAGAGAGAGAGAGAAGCATCAAGGATGAGAGAGAATCACTGATCGGCCACCTCCTGCACGCCCCACACTGGGGCTGGAGCCCACAAGTTGAACATGTGCTCTGACTGGGAATTGAACCCTGACCTCCAGGTTCACAGGTCGACACTCAATCACTGAGCCACACCAGCCAGGCACTCAGATCTTTTTTTTTTTTTTTTTTAAATATATTTTATTGATTTTTTACAGAGAGGAAGGGAGAGGGATAGAGAGTTAGAAACATCGATGAGAGAAAAACATCAATCAGCTACCTCCTGCACACTCCCTACTGGGGATGTGCCCGCAACCAAGGTACATGCCCCCGACCGGAATCGAACCTGGGACCCTTCAGTCCGCAGGCTGATGCTCTATCCACTGAGCCAAACCGGTGAGGGCCAGGCACTCAGATCTTGTTGCTGAGCATGGGGTGCAAAAGGAGTCCTTGCCTCCAGGGAGGGGTCAGCATAGGGTGCTCTGTCCCAGGATGGGGGCAGTTTGTGGGGACAGTCTTCCTTCCTGAGCTGCTTCGGCCTCCACCCTGAGGCACACCTGGGGGGTTGGGAATGGGCAGGGCTCATGGGCTCGGAGGCTCAGAGAACCAGAAACACCACCACAGGTCCCCCAGTCATCCATAGTGCAGCTGACACAGGAACCGGGTGTCCCAACTCCCAGCCAGGGCTTCTGACCAAGAACCCCGACATTTAGCCCAGCTGTCAGCCAAGCAGCAGGTATTGGCCACCAGCTGTGTGCCTTCCCTGAGTGGGGCTTGCTTGGGTGGGATGGGGCAGCTGTCTCCTTGGAGAGGGAAAGCTTGTCCTGAGGTCAGGGGAGGCCAGGGACCCGGTGTAGTTCCAGGCAGAGCTGCTTCCTGGAGGAGGCCGAGCTGGAGCCCAGCCCTGAGGACGGTCAGAGTGGGAGGGGAAGGGCATTCCTGGTGGAGGGAATTACAGGAGCAAAGGCCAGGCAGCTAGGACAAGCCTGCGTTGCTCAGAGGAGAGGGAGGAGGGAGACCTGCCTGCCTGGACTTGGTGGAGTTGGAGACCCAGGGATGGAAGTGCCCCGTTGGAAGTGAGAGAACCTGGTCTGAGCTCACAGCACACATCCAGGCACACGGACGGACACGCGTGCAGACAAGATACACGTGTGTATGTCTGTGCACATGTACACACCTCATCACACAGTCACACATACAGCATGTACACACAACACAAGAGCACATGCCTTATCTCTCAGGGGCTGTACCAATGAAAGAACATTGACTTTTGAATCAGTGGAAACCAGGACAGGGTGAGGTGGAGTAAGGGACACCTTGAGGGTCCCCAACCTGTGTCTTCACCCACAGTTCTCCAAGGATGTCCTGGTCAACATCTATTCTGCCTACATTGATAACTTTCTCAATGCGAAGGATGCCGTGCGTGTGGCTAAGGAGGCGAGGCCTGCCTTTCTCAAGTTCCTAGAGGTACCGTGGGCCAGGGCTGGGGGGATGGAAGCCACCCTCACCTTGGGCCAGCTTTGGGGACCCCAGGAGTTCCCAGCCTGGGCACCACAGCCCTAGCCAGGCTCAACTTCTGCCCTCAGGCTGAGCTGGAGGGGCTTCCTGGGTAGTCTCTTCTTTGCGTGTCATACCTCACGCGGCTGCCCATCCCCCTGTTTGGGATTTCAGCAAAGCATGCGGGAGAACAAGGAGAAGCAGGCGCTGTCCGACCTCATGATCAAGCCCGTGCAGCGGATCCCACGCTATGAGCTTCTGGTGAAGGTGGGTAAGGCCTGGAGGTGTGTGGGGATGCCGGGGGCTCTGAGGCTGGGTCCCCAGGGCTCTGGTGGGAAAGGAAGTCCTCTGTGACATCTGCCCATAGTCCCTCCTGCTGCAGAGTGAGTGTGGGGCCGGGGCCCAGCAGGGCAGCTAAGCAGACAGATCTGGTCCCTGTTCCCACCCCAGGACCTCCTGAAGCACACCCCTGAGGACCACCCGGACCACCCACTCCTGCTGGACGCACAGCGGAACATCAAGCAGGTGGCGGAACGCATCAACAAGGGCGTGCGGAGTGCGGAGGAGGCAGAGCGGCACGCCCGCGTCCTGCAGGAGATCGAGGCTCACATCGAGGGCATGGAGGATGTGCGTGCAGCCCCGCCCCACCCTGCCCATGCCTCTGTCCGTCTGTGGTCACCTGGAACATGGCTGTGTTCATGTCCACAGCAGTGTCCACCCTTCCTCTTCCACATATGCCTCTAGCATGTGTCTATGGCCTGATGGCGTCGGGAGGGGGAATGAGGTGTTGCTTCCAGTGGCCTGGCCCTAGAGGGGGGCCAAGGGGCCTCCAGAGCCTGGGAATGGGATGAGGATTAATAATTTGCTGCGAGACACCCTGTACCTCCTGCCCCACAGCTCCAGGCCCCGCAGCGGCGGTTCCTGAGGCAGGAGATGGTCATTGAAGTGGTAAGAAGCGCCCTGTTGTCTGCGTGCTTGTCCCCACTCCCAGCCTACTTTGTTCACACGTCTGCTCATACCCGCTGCCCACGGCTCTCCCTGCTCTTCCACCCCAACAGGCGCCCCGGGTCCAGTCCCAACTCTGCCTCTGGGCAGCTGGGGGAGAGTCCTCACCCCTCCCTGGGCCTGGCTGTCCCCTGGGTCCTGTGGGCAGGAGGGTGGGCCTCTGGGCCTGAATCCTGCCTTGGGCCCACAGAAGGCAGTCGGTGGCAAGAAGGACCGGTCCCTCTTTCTGTTCACGGACCTCATCGTCTGCACCACCCTGAAGCGGAAGTCAGGCTCCCTGCGGCGCAGCTCCATGAGTCTGTGAGTGGCTGTGGGGGAGGGGGTGGAGGGGGGGGGCGGGGGCAGGGCTGGGAAAGTGGGAGCAGTTGTCCCTCTCAGGGCTCACTCCCCTGCCCTGGCCTGAGCACCCCGTGGCTCCCCACAGGTACACGGCAGCCAGCGTCATTGACACGGCCAGCAAATACAAGCTGCTGTGGAAGCTGCCGCTGGAAGATGCAGACATCATCAAAGGTGGAGCTGCCTCCGGAGTTTCGGGCGTTGGGGTCCTCCTCTGAGAAGCCCCCCTAGTGGGTGTGAGCGTGGCCAGGCTGGCTGCCTCTCCATCTGCTTTCTGCTCTGGGTCCTTACTTTCCCATCCAGTACAAGGGGTCTGGCACACACGGGATCTGGTTGGCATCCACCGAGCCAGACCAGGACCTGCCCACGAAGACACCTTCTGACTGGGCAGGGGCCTAACGTGGGTGGGGCTGGGCTGGGGGGTTCAGGGAGCACAGACATCCTGTTATTAGCCATTGATTGACTCAGTTAAGCACCTCGTGTTAGGTGATGGGGCACAGTTCTGGTCCAGCAGTTTTGTGCACAGGGAACATAGACTCACTCACGTGTCCTCAGGTCAGTGCAGGCGACAGGCCGGTTGGAAAGATCCGAGTTGTTTGGGGCTGAGACTGTCGGAGCTCCTGTGGTCGGTCTCTCTCTCTCTCTCTCTCTCTCTCTCTCTCTCTCTCTCTTACTGTTCTCCTCATTGCTCTCAGCTTTCTCTGCTTCCTTATAACTCCCATGATCCACCATGCCCTTTTCCGATCGGCCTTTCTCCCTCAGCTCTGGGCCTAGTTGCGCCAGGATGCCCTGCTCACCTTATTCAGTGAGGTGGTTGGTGTAGATTGGTGGTGTGGGCACCTCTGGGCTGGAGGCAGTTCAGACCAGCTGGGGTGGGCCCCGAGGTGAGGAAGGGACTCGATCAGCCCCTAGGTCAGTGGTTCTCAACCTTCTGGCCCTTTAAATACAGTTCCTCATGTTGTGACCCAACCATAAAATTATTTTCGTTGCTACTTCATAACTGTCATGTTGCTACTGTTATGAATCGTAATGTAAATATCTGATATGCAGGATGGTCTTAGGCGACTCCCGTGAAAGGGTCGTTCAACTGCCAAAGGGGTCGCGACCCACAGGTTGAGAACCGCTGCCCTAGGTGAACCCAGGCCTGCCCCACATAGGCCCCTGTGTAGGAATCCAAGCTGGTTATTGGCCCACTTCGTCTCTTCTCGTGAGGGAACAGGCCAGCTGATAACATGACTATCTTTAGGTCAAGTGTCCAGTCTTGGTCCAGTCAGCTATGGCTAGGCGTGGGGCAGGGTCATATGGAAGAAAGCATACGGTGAGAGCTGTGGGAAGTTTCCCTCCGAAGGAACAGGAGCCCTCCCAGCCCCGACTTGTCTAGTACATGCCACTGCCATCACGTGCACCCCAGCCGGGCACGCGGGGCGTGGGGTGCTGAGCTGGCCTCTGGGCCGGCTGCTCGGCAGTGGGGAGGTGCATAGAGGACCAGGGAAATCCAGGGCATCAGCTCGTTGCTCCCTCCTTTGTGGAGGCTCTGAGTCCCGTAGTCAGCAGTTGGACTCCCCGTGGGCGGCTGCCGCTGCACAGGCCAGTTTGTCAGCTGGTGCCGCACAGCCTGCAGGGCATCTGCTCGTTATTTGTGCTCTTCCAGGGGGTTCTCCGGGGCCCCGCAGCCTGTGCTGTGTGCCTCTTGGCCCAGTCCCCTGCCCCCGGGCCTGGGGCTCTCTGCGAACTGCCCGCGAGCTTTAATCCTGGGCACGTGGGGTTTGCTGTTGGTGAGGCCGCTCCCCGCACCCAGCTGCAAGTCGTGCGCTGAGGGAGGAGTGCCTTTCCAGCCTTGACCTTGGCTGTTTCTGGATCTGTCCGTGGCCTTCTCTGTCCCACAGGGGCAGCCCAAGCCACCAATCGGGAGAACATCCAGAAGGCCATCAGCCGCCTCGACGAGGACCTGACCACCCTGGGCCAGATGAGCAAGCTCTCGGAGAGCCTCGGTTTCCCCCACCAGGTCTGCTCCTCTGCCTGAGGCTGCCTGCAGTTGAGGGCGGGGATCCCCTGAGCCTCTCCGAGGGAGAGGACATCCCTGTCACTCATCTAAGAGGGAAAACAGCCTCACCCCATCAGAGGGAAGTAGTGTGTCCCAAGCCTGAGGTGGAGACACAGGTCCATCCCCAGCTGAGAGCTGAGGGAGGAGAGAGGCCCATCCTGTCAGTGGGGGGAAGGCAGACTTCCTCTTGGTCTAAGAGGGGCGACAGAGTCCCACTTTCTGTGGGGGGGGAGGCAGGTCCCCATCCTCATCCCCGGGGCAGGAGCAGGCTGTGGGGAGATGGGAGGGCCTGAGGCCTGGGCTTTCCCCCACAGAGCCTGGACGACGTGCTTCGGGACCTCTCGGCCGCCATGCACCGGGACCTGTCCGAGAAGCAGGCGCTGTGCTATGCGCTCTCCTTCCCCCCGACCAAGCTGGAGCTGTGTACCACGCGGCCCGAGGGCACGGACTCCTTCATCTTCGAGTTCCCCCACCCTGACGCCCGCCTTGGCTTTGAGCAGGCCTTCGATGAGGCCAAGAGGAAACTGGGTAAGCCAGGGCCCACGCTGGCGCCCTCCTCCCAGCACCTCCAGGCAGTGGGCAGTGGGCAGCACCACACGGCTCTCTGAGACATTGGCAGCCAGAAATTCCAGGCCCGCCATGTCCTGTGCTCCAGCCCCTGTGGGGGAGGGTGGACTAGACGCCTGCAGTAAAACAGGGCTTCCCCGGGCCTCCCTGCAGGGAGGGGAGTCCATGGATAGGGTCAGCTTACGTCAGGGGCCCCGTGTGGGAGTGCATGGCAAGAACTCCTCGTCTCCACACACACTGGGAGGAGGCCTGGGTCACGGAAAGCTGTTGTTCAGGTCCATGGCTTAGAAGATTCTTAGAGACCTCTAGGTCTATCTCCTGCATAAGGCCAGGGCCGAGCAGGGCATAATTCACATCCACCTCATTCTCCCTCGAGGGAGACTGAGGGGCAGGGGAGGAAGGGAAATGGGCAAGGTAGGAACCAGGATGAGGTGGCTGCTAAGCAGTGTCTGTCTGTCTGCCCATCCCCACTGTAGCATCCAGCAAAAGCTGCCTAGACCCTGAGTTCCTGAAGGCCATCCCCATCATGAAAACACGCAGTGGCATGCAGGTATGTGCAGGTGCCTGGGTCCTGTGGGGGCACATATTCAAAGCCAGCACGTGCTCATGTGTTTGTATTACATACATGTCCTGAATATTGCACCTGCTCCCATGATCTGTGTTGGGATCCATACACACCCATGTGGGCCTGCCTCCCTGCCCTGCTGTGGGGAGCTCGCAGCGATTCCTCCGTTTGCCTTCCCCATTGGTGTTGTTGGCAGTTCTCCTGTGCGGCCCCAACCCTGAGCAGCTGCCCGGAGCCCGCGCCGGAGGTGTGGGTGTGCAACAGTGACGGCTACGTGGGCCAGGTGTGCCTGCTGAGCCTGCGCGCCGAGCCCGACGTGGAGGCCTGCATCGCCGTCTGCTCCGCTCGCATCCTCTGCATCGGGGCAGTGCCAGGCCTGCAGCCCCACTGCCAACGGTGAGGCCCGCCGTGGGCAGGGCTGCTGGACTGAGTTCCTACCTCAACACACCGAGGTCCCTCTAGTGGGTGTGGGTGTGTCCCTAGGATGTAGGTGGGGCCTTGAGGGCGTGTCCATGGTGTGGGGTCTGGGGGGCTTGCCAGGGGGTGGGGCTGAGCTTGGGCTCCTGGGGGCTCTCATCCCCACCCCTTGGTCTCCCAGGGAGCGGCCTTCATCGCTGAGGACCCCCCAGGAGTCAGCACCTGAGCCTCCTGGGCCAGAACTGGAAGTCGAGGCTGCAGACGAGGAAGCAGGGATGCTGGCCGAACCAGGGCCCCAGCCCTGCCTGCACATCTCCATTGCCGGATCGGGCCTAGAGATGGCACCAGGCCCTGCTGAGGGTGACCCCCGCCCGGAATTGGTGCCCTTTGACAGTGACTCGGACGATGAGTCTTCGCCCAGTCCCTCCGGGACCCTGCAGAGCCAGGCCAGCCGGTCCACCATCTCCTCTAGCTTTGGCAGTGAGTGCCCAACGTGGGGCTGTCAGGCAGGGTGGACGCCCAGAGTGGGGGGCAGCCCAAGAGTACTGATAGGTGAGGAGGGACCCGCGTAAGCCAAGGCCTGGGATCAAGTCTCAGGACGTCAGCACACAGAGCAAGGGGGCTGCAAGGTGGGCCGGGGCTGACACCGAGGACCCCGAGGACAGTGGGACAGTCAGGCCAGATGCTGGAATGACTGACGAGTTAGAGAAGATGGAGTAGGGTGTGGAGTGGCTGGTCCCTTGGCCCATGGTATGGCGGCCGATGGGAGGGGGCCAGGCTGGGACTAGGAGCCTGTAGCGCTGGGCTGTCAGCAGGGTAACGAGCCTGAGCTGATGCAGAGGCCTCGGGGTGCGGAGAGCAGCTGCGGAAGGGCCCTCGGGAGGGACATCGCCAAGAGGGATGCATTGAGGGGAGACGGAGGCCCAGAAAGGTATCAGGGCTCAGGCCTGCAGAGGGCATTGGAGACAGAGACCTTTGTCTCCCTCAGATGAGGAGACCCCGAGCTCCAAGGAGGCCATGGCAGAGACGACCAGTTCAGAGGAGGAGCAGGAGCCCGGCTTCCTGCCGCTGTCTGGCTCCTTCGGGCCTGGCGGTCCCTGCGGCACCAGCCCAATGGATGGGCGAGCCCTTCGCCGCTCCAGCCGCGGCTCCTTCACCAGGGGCAGCCTCGAGGACCTGCTGAGCGTTGACCCTGAGGCCTATCAGAGCTCCGTGTGGCTGGGCACCGAGGATGGCTGGTAGGGACACGGAAGGGGCCGGGGTCGCAGTGCTGGAACCCTGAGCTCCTCACTTTGGGAAGCAGGAGGGCTTTGGTTCAAACCCCAGGGGTACTGCCAGCCAGGGCTGCCGCTGGGTCTGAAACCCACAGGGAGGCTGGGGGCCTCAGCACCTTGAGCAGGCACCTGGCAAGGAGGAGGTGGTGGTGGAGATACGGAGATAAAGCGGTGGAGGGGTGACTCCAGGGACTGGTGTGCCCAGCACGTGTCACAGGTGCACACCCTGATCCACAGTGTCCACGTGTACCAGTCCTCCGACAGCATCCGCGATCGCAGGAACAGCATGAAGCTCCAGCACGCGGCCTCGGTGACCTGCATCCTGTAAGCACCGCGGGGCCCTTCCCGCCCAGACCTTCTCGGCTGCACTTGCAGGCTTCCTCCTGCCCACTGGGTCCCTTGCTCTCCAGGTCCCTCCTGTGGAGGCTGGAGGCCAGAGGCCTGGCCCTAGGCTAGCTGTGCCTCTCACACGTGTGGCCGTGGGCGATTCACTCCTCCTTCGTAGACTCGGGCTTTCTTACCTGGAGAGGTGGACGCGGGAACCATATCATTTTGTCTGTGATTCCCTTGGCCCCACGTGACCTGCTCGGGTCTCCGTAAGCCCCTGACTCCCTCCCCTCCCTTTCCCTGCCCAGGTATCTGAACAACCAGGTGTTTGTGTCTCTGGCTAATGGGGAACTTGTGGTCTACCAAAGAGAAGCAGGTGCGTGTCCACCCTCCCCCGCCCCCGGGAGGCCCTTGCTGGTGTTGGCCTCTCTCCTGAGGGGGCTGGGGCCTTGGGCACCTCCCAGGCCTCTGGGCCTTGGTGTCCTCATTTTTAAATGGGGTTGTTAGCACCTCATTTCAGGAGAGGGTGAAGCTGAAATGCAATACTGAACTGAATTTGCTGTTTTCTTTACCCCGTTCTCACTCCAGGTCGTTTCTGGGACCCCCAAAACTTCAAATCTGTGACCTTGGGTGCTCAGGGGAGCCCCATCACCAAGATGGTGTCTGTGGGCGGGCGGCTATGGTGTGGCTGCCAGAACCGAGTCCTGGTCCTCAACCCTGACACCTTGCAGCTGGAGGTAGCAATAGGGATGGATGGGGGTGGGGGGGTGGGGGGAGAGTTAGGGTGAGCCCGGCCTACGAGAGAGGGAGATGGGACTGGGGGGGGAATAAAAAAGTATCCAGCTGTCCAGGGAGAGGCCAAATCACTCAGATGTCATGGGGGAAGGGCACCTCCATTTTAATGTCTGAGGATTAAGTGGGGAGGCTCCCCTTAAGCTTGGGTAGATTAATCACCCAGACCAGGGAGCAAAGCTGCCTTTGCTGTCCATGGGGTGGGCTTTCTGGGGAGGTGTGGTGTGGGTATAAGGAGGGAGGGACGGGTACTGGTGAAGCACAAGGCAGGGAGGGGACAGGAAAGGCAGGCCTGCCAGTCACCCATCTGCTCTCTAACCCCCCCCCCCCCCCCCCCCCCCCCGGAAACGTTCTGGGTGGGGCAGGATTCCAGCCGCAGCGTGGCGTGCATGGTGGACTCCAGCCTGGGCGTGTGGGTGACTTTGAAAGGTAGTGCCCATGTGTGTCTCTACCATCCAGACACTTTTGAGCAGCTGGCAGAGGTAGACGTCACTCCTCCCGTGCACAGGATGCTGGCAGGTAGTGGCCTCAGTCTACCACTTCCTTTCCCTCGGAGCCTTTCCCGCCCCATCATCGCAGCGGAGCCAGGCCAGGATGGGGCCTCAGCTCTCTGTCTCCCACCCCAGGCTCGGACGCCATCATCCGGCAGCACAAGGCTGCCTGCCTGCGGATCACGGCGCTGCTGGTGTGTGAAGAGCTGCTGTGGGTGGGCACCAGCGCCGGCGTCGTGCTCACCATGCCCACCTCGCCCAGTACCGTCAGCTGCCCACGGGCGCCTCTCAGCCCTGCTGGCCTAGGCCAGGGACACACCGGCCACGTCCGTTTCCTGGCTGCTGTCCAGCTGCCAGATGGCTTTAACCTGATCTGCCCCAGCCCACCACCTCCCCCAGACACAGGTGCGTCTTGTATCCCACCCCACCCCGGGGTATTGGACATTTATCCTACCCCACCCCGGGGTATTGGACATTTGGGTTAGGACTTCCCAGTGTCCTGCCAGAAGAGGGTTAAGAGGGAGGAAAAATACAACCTACTAGGAAATAGTGTGTGAGTGTGTGTGTGTGTGTGTGTGTGTGTGAGAGAGAGAGAGAGAGAGAGAGAGAGAGAGAGAGAGAGAGAGAGTGTAAAATACTGTCCAGACAGGTGTCATGGACAGGGAGTGACTATAAGCTAAGAATTAGAATATGGCACAGGCAGGGACATACAACAGGAAATGACACAGGATTAGAAGTGATGTCTGTTTGGGGCAGGAAGTGATGGTCAGAGCAGGAGATAGAAATAACACCAGAGAGCGGAACATAGAGTGGCAGATAGGACAGGAAATGGACTATGACAATTAGAAAGTGAAGCCTATTAGGAAATGATGTACATCAAGGAAGCAGCAATTAGCCAAGCCCGGCTTCAGCAGGGCTGGAAACCATAGTCCCAAGGAGGTGGCAGGGGATCGGGAGCAGGGCAGCCCGGGCGGGAGGTGTCTGCGTGCAGACTAAGCGCCTGCCTGGGAAGGGGCATTGGACGCAGGAGGCGAGTCCCAGGAGGACAGTGTCTGTGCAGTAATAGAGACAGAAAGCGGCCTGGCCCGGGGACATGATGTCACTTCTGCCTGAAAAGTACAGCCAGGAGGTAGGAAGTTGTCTAACGGCCAGGAAGTGGGCACTTCTTTCCAAACAGGAAGTGCTTGGCCAACAGGTAGTGGGCTCTCCCACGGGAAGTGTGCCTGTCTTTCTTCCTATCTTCCGGGGTGCGGGAGCTTAGGCCCTAAAGGACCCTTCCCCTCCGCCCCCCCGAGAAGCTGCCGTCGCTGGAGCACGGGACTCCCTCGGCACGAGGACCCCCCTCGGCCAGGCCAAAATGCTGGTCATCAGTGGAGGCGACGGCTACGAGGACTTCCGGCTCAGCAGTGGGGGTGGCGGCAGCAGCGAGACCGTGGGCCGTGATGACAGCACGAACCACCTCCTCCTGTGGAGGGTGTGACCCTGTCCAGATGGCTCAGGACCTGGCCACCCACCTGCCCTCAGCCTGCTTGCCTCTTCCTAACCCACACGCAGACTCTGCCCAGAGTGTCCAGCCAGGGCGCACCTGTGCCTGCACGGGCTCCTCCGTTTCCGCGGAAGCATTCCGATGGAACTCCTGCTGGCCAGTGGGCCAAGGCCTTTCCTGACCCTCCGGCTGCTCCCGTGCTCCTGGTCATGATGGGGGCTGGGTGGGGGGCACGAGGGCGACCCAGACCTCTGTCCCTGGAGCTTCTACCAAAGACACGGCGAGGCCTGGACCCCACGGGGCTGGGGAGGGCCATGTGCAATATTTGGAGGGTTTTCTGGGGCAGTGGGAGGGCTGGGGGATGGAATCCTTTCCCATGTACAGTATTTATGTTTCTTTTTAGATGTGTACCTTCCCAAGCACTTATTTATGCAATGACCTAGGGCAGGGAGTGATTGGAGGAAATGACAGAAGGAAAAAAACCCGATTCCTGCCCTGGGGGGCCAACCAGGACCCTAACCAAGCCTTCCTGGAGGGACCAATCCCCCCCCCATTACATACATGCGCGCACACACACACACACACACACACACACACACGCTGCATGTTCAGGGCACTAAAACGCCTCTTCACACACTTTCCAAGCCTCATGCTGACTGGGCCGCCCTCCAGCATCCAGAGCCAAGGACCAAGTCCCCTGTCACCCAGAGCAAGATGACGAGGACAGTGACTCCGTCGGGGGGCCTCCCCAGGCTTGGCATTTCCTAGTTTATTGACGGTGCCTTCAGTAGTCTCTGAACTCGGGAGCACTGATGGGGCCTTGGACGGGCTCTCTGCTGGCCTGAGCAGGAAGAGATAAGGCCCTTGCTCCTCACAGCTGCCCCCCAGCCCCTGTGTCTCATGCACTGGCACATGCGGTCACCGTAGGAGGGTGGACCTAGGAGCCCCCTCACTCTGACCACTGAATCCCTCTCTTCACACCCCTCCTGCCAGGGGCAGCCCCTCCAGGAAAGATGCCCAAAGCCGAGGGGCTGGACATGGCCTCTTCAACTGGGAATCGCCGAGGGCAGCCCCTCCCCTGCCCCTGGACCCAGGAGCCAGTCTGAGCCCCAGCCCCCTCGCTGCTTCAGCTACCGCTCCAAAGGTCTGGTTTCAGATGGGGTTTGTTCGGTTCTGTTTTTGTTTGGGGTGGGTGGGTCATTGCGGTCTTAGATTGTGCTTCTCTTGCTACCAAACAGTCATGTATTAACTTTCTTTGGATGATGAATTTTAAAGTCAATAAATAGAAACACCAAGTGACTGCTCCCCATCAGTAGCCCAGGTGGCCTGCCAGCAACCTAAGAGCTTCCCAGCCGCGTGGCTCTCCTGACACCCCCTCTCATGTGCAGAAGGGAGGCCCCGGAGACCCAGAAGAGTGGGGTGCACTGTTGCAGGTCACCGCCTGTGGGGGCTGCAGTTTCCTCACCAGGAAAACAAGGGGTGTGCTCGTCCAGTGCTTTGTAACCAGAGCTACGTGTTAGAATCCTTTACAGATTCCTGTGTAAATATAGAGCGTGACACAGATTGTGTGTCCGTGTGAACACCGTTCCCAGGCTCCCCTTGCCTCCTGCGTCAGTGGGTCTGAAGTGGGGCTGGGGAAGCCGAGCTGCCTTAGGCTGTAAGTAAAAGACTAGGCAACGACCGAGCCTGTCCACAGCTCCAGGAAACCATCCCCAGCAGCCTCGCGTGAGGCCAGGGAACCTGACAGGCCCAGGTGAGGTCAGGCTTTGGAGCTGGGGTAGAATCCAAGTTTGTCTGATTTCTGGTCCAAAGAAGTACATCATTTTTAAAAAGGTGTGTCATGAAATCAGACACAAGAATGCAAAGGCCGACCTCACTGGTTTGGCTCAGTGGGTAGAGCGTCTGCCTGTGGACTGAAGGATCCCTGGTTCGATTCTGGTCAAGGGCACATGCCTGGGTTGTGGGCTCCATCCCCAGTGTAGAGTGTGCAAGAGGCAGCCGATCAATGATTCTCTCTCATCATTGATGTTTCTCTCTCTCCCTCTCCCTTCCTCTCTGAAATCAATTAAAAAAAAACAATAAAAAAGGATGTGAAGGCCGACAGCACAGGGCCAGTCCGTGTCCGGTCAGCCATGACCACCAGGGTCTACCTATCGGACTCAAGACGGCAACCACTAGAAAAGAACAGGTCGTGCCTCTGCTCTGCTAAACACGCTTGAACATTTTCCAGCCTAAATGATGGAGGCTTTACAAACATTTCTGGTGGAGGGGAGTGCGGGCTCATGCTTTGCAAATCGGTGTACACATCAGTCACTCAGGAGTCTGGCTCATGTTCCTCAGACAAACCCTGGACAGGGTGTTCCTACCTCAGAGGACAGGAGAGAGGACCCAAAGCCATTCTTCTCCAAGGGGTTCTCCAGGGGTCCCTTGAGCTGGAGACACCTACCTCCTGGGGAGGGTGAGGCACAGAGAAATCTAGGGATTTACCTGAAGTCACACAGCACTGAGGCTGGGGTGGGCACAGAGGAGAGTGCGAAGGGAGCAGCAAATACGGCTAAGGCCCTGGCTTAGACCTGGGTGGGCCCTGGGGGGGATGGGGACCAAGGGAGCTTAACGAAGCCTCAGCCCTGTGGCCTCCTATCACTGTGTGGCCCTAGGCAGGTGTCTGCCTTCTCTGGACACAGGTGCCCTCTGAGAGCCCTTCACAGCTTTTGCATTCCTGCCAAACACCAAGTCTTAATTTTGTCCTTGCGGACCTTAAGCCACAGGCCGGGTTGCAGGAAGCGCAAGGGGAAGCGCTATTTTGGGCCCATTATGACCAATGAGGAGCCCGGCCTGGCAAAGGCAAGCTGGGTCAGAGGTAGATGTCAGGGCTGAACTGGGGAGGGAGACAGCAAACTGGAATAAATGGGGGCAGAGCCCAGATGCCGGGTGGTGGGGAGGACACAGGGCAAACACTGGGTGTGGGGGAGGAGAGGGAACAGACCTGGTGTTGGAGCCCAGCGGCCTGGAAGAAGCAGGTGCCCCCACAGAGGGTCTCAGTAGATCCCACAACATCCTGGGTGGGTGAGCTTGCACCCGGGTGAAGCCTCCTGCTGAAGGCCACACAGCCTGGCGGTGGCAGCACTGGGACTTGGCCCCTGTCTGTGTCACACCAAAGCCCAACCCCAGTGGGATTCCAGACCCAGGACAGGATCTGGACCTAAATGCCGACTGAACCTAACCCTCAGGGCCAGTCAGCTCAGCTCGTTACTGCCCTGCCCCAGGCTGAGGCCCACCCTGGCCCCCAAGACCCAGTTCCTCCTAAAACCAAATTCACTCTCCCCCTGGGGCCAAGGCACATACATAGGAGGGCAGCCCACCTTCCAAGGGGTAGGACTTGGCCAGTGGGGGTTAGCCAGACACAGAGGACTGAAATTTGAGTATGAACTCCCCCTCCCATGCCTCCTGCTTTCAACTCCCACCTTGGGATTCCAGTGCAGCCAGCAGAGGGTGCCACTGTTCCTGGTCCACCACCCCAGAGGCTGGCACGGGCTCAGCTCCCATGCAGACGACACTCAGGCCTGTGATCCTGTGACCCAGCCCGGCAGAGCTCATCCCAGCTTACTGGGGCCTTGTGCTGTGCCCCTAGGATGAAGGGCAGGTTTTCTCTGGGCTCACTGCGCTATGAAAGGTTCAAGGAGATGGCTTCTGAGGTCCCTGAGCTCAGAGATTGTAATGCTACGATTCTGTGGGTCCATCTGAGATGCCAAGAGTTTTAAAAGCCTGTGATTCTGAGAATGCTTTGTTCTCCGGTCTGTGGTTCTCCATTAAAAGCCAATCTAAACGTCTTGTGGCCTCCACAACTCCTTCCCTGTCTCCTCACTGTAGTGGCTGCCCCCAGACTCTTGGGCAGGGTCCCCTCCGCAGCCTGCTGTGGTTCGGGAGTCAGAGCTGGCAGTGAATAATCATTTGGCTCCCTCACAACCTGAATGTGTGGGGTCAGATGTGTGTAGGCTGTGGCTCCCGAAGACCTGACCCTCTGTTGCTGCAGCCTGAGAGCCCAAAGCTGCCAACCAGCGTCCCCAGAACTACAGGAAGGACTACCTCAGCCTCTTCGTCCCTGATCTTTTCTCCTGGCTCAGGTAACTGCTGCCCAGACTTACCGCTCAGCCAGGTCAGGCAGTCACCATTTGCCACCCTAGTTTTCAGATGGGGGAACAGTAAGGGGAGGGATT